CCATGGGGTAAAGTGGTGCTTCTGTAGTCTGCGTTGGTGGTTGAAACCTGACTTCTTAGTATGTGATTTTAGAATCTGCTTTAGATGGTATCTAAAATGTGCTGATACTTATACTAAAAATGTTCTTAGCAAATAGGAGAAAGGTGTGACTTTTTACGCAAAGCACTGCTTTGAGTAAACTAGAGCAGACCTCATGTTTTAACATAATGGTGCTATTGTGTCTGTGTATTTAGGTGGGTTGGCTTATTCTAAAATTAAGCCTTCATACTTGTAATCCTCTTTCCTGAATCTGTGGAAAAATTCTAACATTGCACAATTTTAGACATTTATTGACAAAAGGAGTGTGAAGGAAACAACAAAAAGTATTGGCATAGAAGAGAGGAATGGGAAAACTAAACATGTCTGGGGTTTCATGTAGAGTAATCATTGTTAGTATTTTGTCATTTCTGCGGAGGTAGGCCAGCTAATGAGTTTACTCGGCCAAGTCAGCAGTCCTGGGAAAATTTCCCAAGAGCCTCTATTGATAGTGTCACTCACCAAACATATCTGCCACCTAATCGTCTGTCTGCACTGCAGAGACTACAGCCAGGCCTTTATGTTCTAAGCAGCATCTGCCCAGGGCCCCTCCTGCAGTGGGTGTGCATCTGGCCTCAGGTATGGATACCTGGGAGCCCCTGTAGGGCAGGCCCATGAGCACCTGTGGAGAAACTCTTCAGTCTAGGTCAGTTATCATGCTATGTGGTAAGAGCTGATGATGAAGGCTTTTCTGTTTTGGTAGAGGGTTAAGAAAGTGAATATGAGAAAAGGAAATACCAGAATTTTAAAAAAGACAAAATCAAAAACAAACAGAAAAACTAGCACCCAGTGTGGTTCTCTGCACCTGACGTGGCAGATGTTCAAGAAAGGATTCCTGAATAAGGCTGAGGGAAAATGTGTCACAAAATTCTGCTACAGGGTCATTACCACCACTTAGAACATTTTATTATGTTGTAGAACATTGCATGGACTCGATGGTAATGTTTTGGGAAGATAGTTTAGAAATTCAAGATTTGAATTTTTTAGAGTGAGTCCTAACTACTCCAGTTTCGGGTCTCTTATAAGTTTGCTGGCAAGGAGGAAAGCTAAATCTGTCTTCATGTTGCAAGCACAGACACCTGCAAGATATCTTTTCTTTAATACCATACAAAATACAAACTTTCACAGCAATTTTCCTCCAATGCTGAGCCCAAACACGTGCCACTACTCAGCTGGCCAGCTTAGGGGGTGACCTGAACCTGTCACGTCTGCAGCCTTACAGGAAACCAAGGGGACTGCTCATCCAACAGTGGCTTCCTCCTGAGATTATAGGGGGTATAAAGAAAATCAAACCAATATCCAATTCAGTGTCCTTTCAGAAACGTGGAGCCTTGAGAGGCATGTAATGTTTAATAACATGCCACAGGAAGCTCTCCAGAGCCCTTCGGAGGCTCAGCTTTCCCCAGCTGCCACTGCATTTATTGGTTGGAAGATTAGCCTCTGAGACGCGCGCTCTGTTACTGCCCTTCCTGTCCTTCCGTCTTCCTTTCGGCGCGTCTTTCTCCGCCTCTGTGTCTGACCTTAGCCATGCCGCACTATGACTGGCTTTAGGATGTTTCGAAGAATCTTTTCCCTCAAATGTTACTCGTATAAAGACCAAGAATATTGCTATTAATTGGGCATTTTCCCACTTCTCTGCTGAACTCCATGCTTCCCCAGAGTAGAGCTCATCACAGTGAGGTCCCTGGGGGGTCACTGAGGAGCCTGTTCGTTAGTGTTAGTCAACAGGTGAAAGAGAGCTGATCTAACTGTCCTGGCATTTAGGAGCCTAGCCCAGGTTCAGTTCCACTGCAAATATTTCTAATATGGTATGAAGAATCGATGATCTTAGTTTAAGAAATATTAAATATAATGACTGCAAATATAAAGAGACCCCAGGTGGTTTCATTGAAAAGTCTGAACACATGACCAATCCATTAATTGGCGGGACAATTTGAGTATGTGTCGCCTGGCACAGTAGAGCATCTCTGAGCTAGGGCTAGAAAACCCCTCCAAAGGCAAGGGCGGGGCCTTTGATTTGCGCACACTAAGGCCCACGCACTGGCGGGTGACCTCTTCTGCTTCCGGCTCTACTATCTTTTACATTTTCTATAGGGAGGGATCTGGCCTGGTGGCACTGTCCTCCTCAGGCTCTCTGGAGACGCTGCCCACGTCTTTGTTCCCGTTTAATGATTCCACACTGTAGGGCTGTGCCGTCCTGCCTTAGAGTAACCGATTCTCCCTCTCCTTGCCTTTGTGGATGCTTCCCTCAGCTCCTCTTTAACACACAGACTGAAGCCAATGCTCACTACTGCTCTGGGGTTTAAAGTGACTGGGAATATTGTGCAGCAGGGTCTTTCTACCACCCAAGAATCTCAGTCTTTATTAGAATAGCAGCTAAGTGAGTCTCAATGTGTGTACTTAACAACTCAGAATTTAATCTTTGGATCAGTATGAGACAATAGGATGGTTTTCAAGGGGTAATAAATAGGATATATAGTTTATACACCTTCTATATTATAGCATTATTTTCTAAAGGAGAAATTTATGGGACTCTGTACCAATATCTCCTTCAACTAGGTAATCTTAGTATGTGCCTGGATTCCCCAAGTAATATATTTCAGACTTGATATGAAACTAATCAATAGAGAGAAAAATAAATAAAATTAAAATGTTTAATAAAAAAATTCTGGTATGTATAAACAAATCGGAGTTAGTAATAAAAAAGGTAACACTTTATTTTAATGGTAAACTTTCATGCTAACTCAATAGTATAATGGAAATGTAATATAAACTCATTTTCATATAAAATCTGTTTCCTTTAATTAACATACTAATACATAAAATGTGTCTTTTCCAATTGTCTGCCCCTTTGTTCTTTTTTTTTGCACTGTTCTCTGTTTTGTCTGACTTGTAAATACAAAAGTCAGTCTTTACATGACTGAGAACAGTGCTTATGGACAATCAATTCTGTTGATAACGTCTAAAACATCAATGGCATGATCAAGAGAGTAGTATAAAAAGGGGGCTGAGGCAAACAGTCTCCTTTCAGGACACATCAGTTAATCTCACTTCAAAGGACACACGGCCACAGTATTGTGTATACAAAGTGTACTAGGTGAGGTTTTCAGGTACACTTTTAGAACATCTGATGATTCATAAGAATGCATTTTAAAGTGGAGTGACGGGGTAACTGAATGGCATACGATCTAGACAGGTATTTTTGCATTCTTATTTTTATATTTATTCCAATACAAGGCCCTCAATGTGTGGCATATGTTATAATTAAAACACTTTTCTTCTTGTCACAATCTCATACCAGTAAGTATTGTGAAGCCACAGTTACTCTAGTGGTAATAGTTAAACTTTGTAAAAAACTGTGGCAAAACTGAAACATTGAGTAGAACATAGACAAGGAAACCACAGTGTGGTTTAAGAGAAATTTAAACTATTTCACTGACTAAATATTCTTTCCTTTCAAAACAACCCTCAAATGAAAAACAATTGTGAATGTGCACCGAACAATAGGTGGTACAGTTAGACTCATGGTCTGGCCTGTGTGTTGCAAGATGTTTTGATAATATTGTATTTGTGATAAAATGTGAATTATGGATGAAGAACTTTATTGCCTAAATTAAATTTGGGAGACAAGAGAAATGATTACATAAGACCTTTCACTGGGGACCTAGTGGCAGCATGGGCTGAAAGAATGCCTCTGGTTTTAAACGTTCGAACAAAACCTGTTAATCCATTATTATTATTTCCCTGCTAGAGAAAAAATATGCTGGCTTTGGGAAGTAACCTTAGATTACATGGATTGCAAAATTTATTTTAGGTTTCAAATATTGGTGATAAATGTTGATTCAACATTGAAACATTTCTTTCCTTGAAAAATGATGATCTTCTTAAGTATTTCTCATAAAGGCTCCTTGGTGATTCAAGATAGAAAAATGCAGGTGAGCGTCAGACTTCCCTCTCCATACTCATAAACTTAAGGAATCATGACAAGAGCTGCAGAAGCGTGATGCGTGCAACCCTTGGAAAACCCTTTGTCAACAGCACAAGGATTTGTGACCTGGCTTAAACACATGCAGACCAGGGGCAATTTTGGTTACAATTGTTTTCTTATAAAACAATTCATATGTTTTTGTGCATTTCTTAAGCCTTCTTTCCCCACATCAACTTACAAATTCAGAACAGTATTAATGTGTGCTTTTTGGGTATGGATTAGTCTCCTAAAGTACATGATTCCAATAAGTATCAGTGACAGAAGGAATTAATAGATTATGCTTTATGCACAACAAAATTAACAGTAAAAACTGGTTTGCCTAAGTTTTTCCTAATGCATATGCCTGTATCAAATTTAATATTCTATACAACTGATAAGATCCTGAAAGACTCCCAGTGAGTTATTAATCCTGAACTATACCATGGCCCACTTTGGGATGAATAATAAAATGGAATTTAAATGTTGCAGATGTCACAATGTTTTGAAAAGCTTCTTAAGCACAGAATTATGATGTGAATTGCAAATTCTAACAGCCTGGATAACTGAAATATCAATTACATGTTCATTTTTTACATCAGAATGCAAAGATTAAGCTTCAGGTCTTGTTCACAAAATTAAGGACTAAACCATCATTCTCTCCCATTGCTGAGAGCTCAGCATTAAGGCTGCTATGCGATAGGAGGCTGTTTTCTGTAGGCAAAGTATATTATGGCGAGAGACACTTGGAAATACTGACAAAGGGCACCAATGTCCCCATGTTATTCTCACTTTCGAAGGCTGGCAAATGCCTGACAACCACAGCACTTGCTCTAGATTCATGAGTCTGTGCTTTGATTTACCACAATATATGCCATCAAAAGAAGGTTCCATTTATTTACCATATTTGATAGAAGGGAAAACAATGCTGATTTTTAAAAAGCTGCTTTGCATGCTGCAATATATTTTTGAGGGCAAGTTTATTATGCTTCCATTTTGGTCTGGATGCAGTAATCATCAAATGTGTGCAAGACTTGCAGGGAGATCAAAATGATAGACATTTTTCTCAGTATCATCCTTTACACGCTTTAAAGTACTGCTTGTGAGTTCTGTGCAATGATATCCCTAGGCAGCAAACAGTAAGGGGGAGGAGGAATTTTCTATCCCGTAAGCTTTTCCAATGAATGTAGACCAAATAATCACAAAGGTGTTATTTATCTGAACACAGGCCTGAACACTTAAAAACTCCCAAGCCACATTTACCCCTGAGCTAAGGGTCAGCTCAACAGAATCCTAGTTTTAACTCTGTGTTCATATTATTCATGTGAAGCATCTCCGGACTGTGCATATATACCTGTCAGCTGGTAACAATTTTCAGGTAGCAGTATAAAGTAAACCAATGGGAAATAGGAGGGCAGTCCCTCTATCTTTTTCCTCAATAATGTTTGTTTGATTTCTTAACCGTTCACTCCATTCATACCACCTTGCTTCTTGGCTGTGTGCATGTCCGCATGTGCTCATGTTTGTGAACTAGGATCAGGAAGTTCTGACAGCTCTAGAAACTGGTACAAAATGGAGGGAATTGAATTCTGGGATGCCTCCTCTGAGGTGAAGGTAGTTAACCAAAGGCATGGTGTTATTTCTGTGTACTTGCACTCTGTAGTTTCTCTAAAAAGTTTTTTTGTTGCCATTACAACGGCTATAGCAGTGAACTCCTGAAAACATTCTTCAGAGCCATTTTTGTGAATTTAGACCATAAAATAAAAAGTGTGTGTGTGTGTGTAAAGGCGTAACTCTGGCAAGAGGGCAGATTTTGTTTCCCTTTTCTTCTCTTCTTTGATCAGTAATCTGGCCACTCCTTTCTTCAGACCACCCTCCTGTTCAAACTAACTGCTGATCTCTAACAGATCTCTAACACATCCTTTAAAAGATGCTGTCTCAACTCTGAAGTTTGCTCCCCGAGGACGTGTCATGCATGCTTTCTGATGCCCAAAGAAAGGGAACCACAGCCTCACTAATGATACAGGAGCATGATGATTCTTACACTGTGTGTATTTCCAGCAAGGAAAAAAAGAAAAACCCTAGGAGATCCAGAAAATTCTCAATATAAAATGATGTTTAGATATAATACTGCCTTAGCAGAGCAGAAAGCCAACTTTGGTTGGAATGTGTCCTGCAAACATGGCATTATCAGTGGGCATCACAGCATGGATCGAGTGGGGTCTGTGGCAGAGAACAGCAGCCCATGGACTGTGCCTGAAGTAGAAAACGTTTGAGAAACATCAATGGTCCCGACGTGAAAAAGACAGATCTGCTCTCCCTCACATTTGGAGCCTGTGCTTTTCTATTTACAATGGCCTGAAATGGCAGGGTTGCTGCGGTGAGCTGATGAAGCCCTTGGTAGCACTGGTTCTTGAATGTGCTTGGTTTTGACTTTTTTTTATAAGTGGCACATATTTAAAAAAACAGTTAATAAAAAAATAATAACCTTAGAAGACTGTTGCAGGTAATGTGGTATGAACTCATTGTTAATTGGAAGAATGGTATTAGTCTGCCGGAGGATGGCATCCTGAAGGCTGAGTTTGCGCTGTCGAGTCGCTATGTGACTTTCCTCTTGATGACAGTGAGTTCTTTCTGAAGTTCACTGAACTTGGGGCGGTTTTCAGGTTTATAATCCCAACATTTCATCATAATTTTAAAAATGTCCTCTGGGCAGTGCTGAGGGGCTGACATTCGGTATCCTGAAAACCCAAGAGAAGAACAGAATTTTGAATGGTGGTAAGATATAAATGTTCACATGGGGCATTATGCAGTTTATAAACTTCAGTATGTTATGTTGTAGGTGTAAAAGAAACAAAAAATTCATTTCAGGACAAATTGACTTTTTCCTTTTTCCTTTTTCCTACACATGATGTAGAATTTAATATTACAGAGACATAGATGTACCTTCTATTTCAAAGGATTTTTAGTTCTAGAATTTCAAATTTTCAGTTCAAAGAATTATTAGTTTAGGTAATTTTTCTTCAATACAAATTCTACAATAAGATACATCACATACAAATGCATATTTTAGTTGCTTTCAGTATTTGCTTTTAGATGCTGTAGGCAGAGTTCTAAAAAATCACCTCTGTAACCCAGGTTTTTGAAAATGAGAGGATGAGGATTTTTTAAACATGAATTCAAAAGTGAAATAATAATGAGTTTATTACTTTACAGTTAAGAATCTTATCTTTAATTCAGAGTTGTCTGGCAGTGTCCCAGCAGTGCACCTGTGTTTACCTCAGGATGTCAGATGTCTGTGAGAGACTGAAGGGAGTTAGGAGGCTGTCCTCATGCCCGCTTCCACAGCCATGCGCCTCTTGAGGGACCTGAGACTAGGGCACTGCCATTTCATCAAAAGTACTCTTTCTGCTGAAAGCTGTGGACTGTACAAGGACATACTAGGGTGTTACCGTCTCACTTTCATATTCCTGTCTCCAACCTGGGAACACCACAGGGTCTCTTCAAAAGTGTTACAAAATTCTCAAAAATGTTTTCGTGAAGTCTAAGTACATGTTAATTTGCAGTCATATTAATGTTTAATTTGCATAGAATAAAAAATAAGTTGAGCATCAACCTTGTAGATGTTATGCCAGGGTAGGTGGTAGAAAAGCTTGTTGCTCCCTACTTTTAAAGTGTTGGAATCTTTTATTAAAGATTTTCGTTTGTCTTTGCTTTGTGAGAGCCGTGGCATCCATGAGTTCAAAAGCAGATTTACCAACACATCTACTCTCTATTTCCATAGCCTAATAGTATGTACCCTCCTCCTCCCTGGGGCTGGAAGTGAACACTACTCCCCGGGGGCTTGGGCTCACCTCTCTCCACCTGCTCCCGGGCTTGCTGATTGGTCATGCCGGGGTAGGGGCAGACACCTAGGCTGAAGGTCTCCCAGAGGAGGATGCCGAAGCTCCAAACGTCACTCTCAGAACTGTATCTCCCTGGAGGGAGAACAAAACCACACATGTTAATACGAGTGCAGCAACTAGTGATAGCATTTTGCTTTCCAGGACTAGTAATATTACCAATTAAATGACCAGTCTTCAGGGTGCTAGCTTAACCAAACCAGCTTCCAGATCACTTTTCCACCACCAAGAACAAATATTCAGCTAGCATGCAAGCTTACTTTCCCTGTGGTATCTAAATAAGATGGATGGTTTATATAAAAAAAGATATAAATTTGTACACATCAATGCCTAGGAGATTAAGTTGGATTTTTGCAATTCTGCCTGCATCATTTTCTTTCTACTAACTTAAAGCAATAAGTAAAGTTACTTAATTTTTTACTCATCACTGTTTACAGATATTCTTAATCCTTAAAAGGTCTCATTTTCTCCACTGATAGTTGCATTTATCGAAAATATACATTTTTTTGTGTGTGTTTTGAATAGAGTAGAAATTAACATAGCTGATAAAGCAACTTCTTTACATGGTTCCTTGTTTTGTCAAAATATCTTGATGCACCTGTTTAACTGAGCTGCATGAGCTAAGCTCTTAGGATTTTTTTGGGTAGTCTTCCAGAGAAACACAGAGAACAAAGCCAACACAGGATACTTTCTGGAGATGGATGTGAAATCAAAGAGCAGAAGCAAAAAAATCCTTTCCAAACTCCAAGATACTAAGAATTTAAAGATCTTCCCAATCTATTTGTATTTTAATTTTAATTTTACATACAGGGGATGTGCTATCATAACTAAACCCATCCGCAGGGGTGTTAAAGGGTTCTTTACTGATCTCATTTCTACCGTGCCTTACCTTGGCCACTCCCTCCTCTAGAAACACCTTGTCATTCTAAAGCAAGATGGCCTTTTCTTGCTTTTGTAGAAAGTAAAATGATAATGAGGACGGGCCTGCGCTTTGGTGACTGCTCTGACGTCAGAGTTAGGAGTGTGGTAACTGATTATCACCTCCCGCTGTGGGAATTCACTTTCTTTGTGTAGACGGTAATCACGGACATACATATGCTGTTTGGTAGGAAGGCTCATTTTCTTGTCTGCATATCAACTCTTTTCGTGTTTGGCATCCAAAAATTTAATACTTTTTATGAAAGCCATTCAATGGCTACAAGTTAAGACAAATTAATTCTTTAAGGAAGTACAAGGGGTAGAGTCAAATACCTTCATTTTGTAAGATAACATCTGGTTAGAAATTAAGAAAACCATGTTGGTGTAAACCAAAATCACACTCCAGAAGTGAAAGCTTATAACATAACACTATAACTTTGACATTTGAACCTGGTTTTGTTGGAATAATTTTAACATTTATTTCTTAGTTTATTTTAAAATTATTTACTTATTTACTGTAATGAGATATTGACATATAACTGTATATTAGTTCCAGGTCTATTATATGATTCAGTATTTGTATATATTGCAAAATTATCACAGTAAGTCATTAAAATCTGTCACAAAAAATATTTTTTTGAGATGAGAACTTTTAAGAGCTACTCTCAATAGCTGTCAAATGTGCAACACAGTATTACCTATAGTCACCATGCTGTATGTTTCATCCCCATGACTGATTTATTCTATAGTTGGGAGTTTGAATCTTTTGACTCCCTTCACCCATTTTTCTCACCCCCAACCCACCCCTGGCAACCACCAACCCATTCTCTGTATTTACGAGCTTGTTTTTTGTTTTTAAGATTAAATGCGACCATATTTGTCTGTCTGACTTATTTCGCTTAACATAATGTCCTCAAGGTCCATCTGTGTCGTCACAGATGACAAGGTTTTATACTTTTTTATAGCTAGTATCCCAGTGTGAGTGTGTGTATGTGTGTATTTATGTATATATAGCACATCTTTATCCATTAGTGAACATATAGGTTATTTCCATGTCTCAGCTATTGTAAATAAAGCTGTGAGCATGGGGGTACACATAGCTCTTTGAAGTAGTGTTTTCATTTTCTTCAGGTAAATACCCAGAAGTGGAAATACTGGATCATATAGAAATTCAATTTTTAATTTTTTGAGGAACCTCCATACAGTTGTTTTCCATAGTGGCTGCACCAATTTATATTTTCACCAACAGTACACAGGGTTCTCTTTCTCTACATCCTCACTAATACTTATTTCTTGTCTTTCTAATGATATCCATTCTAACAGGTGTGAGGTTATACAGCATTGCAGTTTTGATTTGCATTTCCCTTATGATTAGTGGTGTTTAGCATTTTTTCATGTACTGACTGATCATGTGTATGTCTTCTTTTGGAAAATGTTTGTTTATATTTTCTGTCTGTTATTAAATTGGTTTATTTGGGCTTTTTTTATTGAGTTATATGAGTGCTTTACATATTTTGGATACCAACCTCTTATCAGATTTGTGGTTTGCAAATATTTTGTCCCATTCAGTAGGGTGCCTCTTCATTTTGTTGATGGCATCTTCTGCTGTGCATATGCTTTTCAGTTTCATGTAGTCCTATTTGTTTATTTTGCTTTTGTTGTCTTTGCTTTTGGTTTCATATCCAAAAAATCATCACAAAGACCAATGTCAAGAGGCTTACCACCTGAGTTTTATGCTTTCAGGTCTTCCACTCAAGTCTTTAATGCATTTCGAGTTAATTTTTGTGAGTGGTGTAAGATAGGGGTCCGGTTTCATTCTTTTTTTATGTGGCTGCCCAGTTTTCCCAACACCATTTATTGAAAGTGTCCTTTCTGCATTGTTTATTCTAGACTTCTTTGTCGTAAATTAATTAGCCAAATATGTGTGGGTTTATTTCTTGGCTACCTGTTCTATTGATCTATATGTGTGCTTTTATGCCACCATGTGGTTTTCATTACTATAGTTTTATAACAGATTGTAATCAGGGAATGTGATGCCATCTGCTTTGTTCTTGTTTCTCAAGATTCCTTTGGCTTTTTGGGTGGTTTTTTGGGGTTCCAGACAAATTTTAGGATTGTTTGCTCTATATCTGTTAAAAATGCTGTTGGAATTTTGACAGGGATTGCACTGAACCTATTGATTGCTTTGGGTGTATGGGCATTTAAATATATTAATTCTCTCAATCCATGAATATGAAATATCTTTCCATTTATGTGGTCTTCAACTTCTATCATTAATGTCTTACAGTTTCAGTGTACAAATTTGTCACCTCCTTGGTTAAATTTATTCCTAGGTATTTTATTCTTTTTGATGTGATTGTAAATAGGATTGTTAATTTCTCCTGATAATTTGTTATTAGTGTATAGAAATGCAACTGATTCCTTTATATTGATTTTCTATCCTGAAACTTTACTGAATTCATTTATTCTAACAGTTTTTGATGGAGTCTTTAGGGTTTTCTATATTCAATAATATCATCTGCAAAGAGTGACAATTTTATTCTCTTTCAATTTGGATGCTTTTTCTCTTGCTTAATTCCTCTGGTTAGGATGTCCAATACTATGTTGAATAAAGGGGGAATATTGGGTATCTTTGTCTTATTCCTCATCTAGGAGGAAAAATTTTCAGCTAAGAACTTAACATCGAGCATGATGTTAGTTGTGGGCTTGTTACATATGATCTTTAATATGTTGAGATAATTCTTTCTATACCCAATTTGTTGAGAATTTTTATCATAAAAGGATTTTGAATTTTGTCTACTACTGATTTTTCAGCATCTACTGAGATGACCATGCTTTTTATACTTCAGTTTGTTAATGTGGTCTATTGTGCTGATTTGCATATGTTCATCATTCTTACATCCCTGGAATAAATCCCACTTATGATGTATGATCCTTTCAATGTGTTGTGGAGTTTGGTTTGCTGATATTTTGTTGAGGATTTCTCCATCTATATTCATCAGAGATACAGACCTGTAATTTCCTTGTGGTGTCCTTGTCTGGTTTTGATGTCAGGGTAATGTTGGCCTCATAAATATGTGATTGTTCCTTCCTTGTCTATTTTTTGGAAGCATTTGAGAATAACAGGTATTTTTCTTTTAATGTTTGGTAGAGTTTTCCAGTGAAACCATCTGGTCCTAAACTTTTGTTTGTTGACAGTTTTTGATTACTAGTAAGGAGACTGAATTAGCGATCAGTCTATTTAGAGTTTTTATTTCTTCATGACTCAGTCTTGATAAGTTGTGTGTTTCTAGGAATTTCTTATACTTTGTCCAGTTCATTGCAATATAATTGTTCAGAGTAGGCTTTTATGATACTTTGTGTTTTGGTGGTATCAGTTGTAATATCTCTGCTTTCATTTCTGTTTTTTTTATTTGAGTCCTCTCTCATTTTCTTGGTGAGTATATCTGAAGGTTTGTCAATTTTGTTTATCTTTCAAAGAACCACACATTAGTTTTCATTAATATTTTCAGTCTCTATTTGATTTATTTCTACTCTTAGTTATTTCCTTCCTTCTACTAACTTAGGGCTTCATTATGCTCCTTTTTCTAGTTGTTTGATGTGTAATGTTAGGTTTTTTATTTGAGATTTTTCTTGTTTCTTGATGTAGGCATTTATCATGAATTTCCATTTTCATTTGTCATAAGGTATTTTTTGGTTTCTCCTTTAACTCACTGGGTGTTCAGTAGTATGTTGTTTAATCTCCATATATTTGTGAAAGTTCCAGTTTTCTTCTTGTAATTGATTTTAGTTTCATACCATTATCATCAGAAAAGATGCTTTTTATAATTTCAATCTTCTTAAATTTATTGGGACTCCTTTGTGGCCTAACATACAATTTGTCCTGGAAAATGTTCCATGTACATTTGAAAGGAAAGCGTATTCTGTTGTTTTTGGGTGGAATGGTTTGTGTATACCTGTTAAGTCCATGTGGTCCAATGTGTCATTTTAGGCTAATGTTTCCTTATTGATTTTTCTGTCTGATGACGTATCCATTGATGTAACTGGGGGTATTAAAGCCCTTTGGTATTAGTGTATTGCTGTCTATTTCTCCTTTTGGATCTGTTAATATTTGCTTTACATATTTGAGTGCCCCTATTTGGGTGCATAAATACAAA